TAAATCAGCCGAGATATGTCTTATTTTATTTTATAACAAAAACATACACATTTTAACACTGAGATTAAAACTTACTTTATATTTTTAATATCTAATTTTAGGTCTATTCGCTAGATAAAAAAATAATTGTATTTGTAGAAAACAAACAATTTTTTTTTACACTTAGAGACTTGCATATATCATATATTTCACTTTAATGTTGTATATATTTCCATATATGTATGATATATGGATACATTAAAGTGAAATTAAGAACTATTTTAAATTATTCTTAATATCTAACTTTTAGGTACACTCCCTAAATAAAAAATAAATTTATCCATAAAAAAAAAAAAAAATTCATTCATTTTTCTTGTTTACAACAACTTTATTTCGTGATAGGCGCAACGCTGGCTTAAAAAGCCATTACAAAAAATCCGACTTCATAAAATTCAACATTAAGCAACTATTTTTTTTTATTTTTACTCGCTATTTTGTTGTTAAGTTAATTAATTTTAAAAGTTTTTTGTTAAAACTGAAACAAATAAAATATTTCACTCAGAGATGTATTTCCTTTTCTTCTTCTTCATTTCTTCTGTAAACTTAAATAGATTTTTTACATTTATTTCCTAAAACTAGTCAGAAATGTTTATGTTTTTGTTCAATCTTTTTCTCTTACAATGTTGTTAAATTTTAATAACATCTGAAAGTCTATTTCAAGCAATAGTATTTCTTTGGATATGGTTTTACTCAGTAGTAATAGCACATAAAAAAACGAACGATTTCGGTTACATGAAAAATTTCCAGGCGGTTTTACGGTGTGATATGAAACCGAAAAATGTCGGGTTTACGGTTAAACCGCCGATCACTATCTAAAAGTCACATTTAAGAGAACTGGGTACAGGAAGATATGCGAGTATTCACTACACCCACCCATATGGATTGTTAGATGGATAGAGAAGAAGCATATTAGTCAGAGGGGTTATGGACAGAGAATCTGGATTGTAAATATAAAGTTTTATTTTAATTTAAAATCTAACATTCACTTCTTGTAGAAGAGAACACGCCAATGCTCTGTGAGCCACAAATGAAAAATAACGTCCAATGCTTGTGTGAACCCAAAAAATTGCCAACGACACAGAGGAAAAAAAGAAAAAGTAAAATAAATTCAATTAAAAAAAAACAAAGTAAAAAGGAAGGAAACATTAGTAACGAGGAAAGGAGAGAGGAAAAATAAAATAAATACAGAATTAAATTCAAAGGGATACATTTGTGGATGACTGGCGATAATATTTCTTCTTGCATGGCTACTTAGACAAAAATTTAGGCCAGGAATCACAATCTCTACAGTCAAATGAGGGATACTACTAAAATAGCCTTGTGCCAACATTCACTTCTTATAGCTCACATGAATGACATTTGCTGAGTTATTCAAGACAAGTAAAAAAATGCTAAACACTTTCATGTACAAATTGTAAGTCATATTTTGTGCACATCTTTTGTTCTGTTATTTCTCTTATTTTTTATGCTCATCTGTCTTATCTATGATGCTCATTCATTCTCTCTCTGCACACTTTTCATTGAGTGATTCATCTTTTGACTGTTTGCATTCGTTTTTAATTACTTTGCATAATATACTATATTCTGTACTATAGCTTGGCACTATTTGTAGTTTTTTTTTCATCATGTTCAGAATTTCATCCGTCATCCACTGCATTTTCTTGATTAGTTTTTCTTGGGATGGTCTCATTTGCTGATGTTACTAAAGCTTCTCTTAATGTGTTCCATTTTGAATTTCCAGTTTCATTTAATTGACTGTATTTGATTTTAACACTGTCAATATACATCTTTTTGCAGTTTAGGTTATTCAGGAGTCTGTCATCTTGAAATTTGGGTGCTACTTTAGTTTGGTTTAATTTCTATAGTTTAATCTGGGATTACATATGACTAGAAGGTGGTTACTCCCACAACACTTGGATAAGTTTTACAGTGTCAAACTGCATTCCTAAATTTCTCATGAATTATTATATTGTCAGTTTGGATTTTGGTTTCTCCTCCTGGGTTTTTTCATGTCCATAAACATCTTAAATGTGCTTGAAACCAGGTGTTGGCTACTATCTAGTCATTTGCTGTGTACCATTAGACACATTTTTCTCCATATTCATTATGAATTCCTAATCTGAATTTATCTACTATTTCCCCATCTTATTTCTTTTTTCTTTGGCATTTAGGTCTTACATGATGATTGTAATTTCCTGTGATTTGCACTGAGTCTTGATGTTGTCCAGTGTACAGTAAATATTAATATTTAGTCTATTAATTTCTTGCTTTATATTTCCTAACTGGCCACATTGATTTAGTATTCTGACATTCCGCATCACAATAACTTCATTTTTTATACAAATGAAGCTATCATTTCATTTTTTTTTTATTTTGCTGGATGTCTTTGGATTAAACATAAAAGAGACTGACTTTTAGTCAGTGATTAATTTAAAGCAGTGACCATTTAAGAAATGTTGCCATATTTTTAGCATCTCAACTATGGCATAAACCTCCCTTTTGATAGCTGAATGTTCATGCTCAGATTTTGAAAATTAGTTTCCCTGGCTGGGCAATATGACCTGGGGTGTAGTTTGAAACCCCCAAAATATCATTTTTGTCTGGCTGCAGCACTAGCAGTGTATGCAGATCCTTCCAGAGAGAAGATTTTGAACTGGCAGTGTGGTGAGGTGCAGAAATGAGGAAATTTATCATAGAGGATTGTGTTTTTTTTCCTGTTTGGGTTCTTTGAACTGGTGGACTAGTAAGAGTGTGAGTACTTAGTGCAGCCTCTGCAACACTATTTTGTAGGTATCAACAAAATTGCTTTTCTGCCATTTTGTGAGCAGTAGTTAAATCTAGTTGTTTATTTTCCAGCAATCTTTGATGGATATAGTTCAATTCTAATCCATTTATAAAGGAGTCTGATAAGTTTGTCCTTTGCCTGATCTGCTGTTAACACTTGAAAGCCAGAGTATTGACTTAAGATTTTTAAGCACTGAAGATACTGTTTTAATCCCTCTTCAGGGAATTGGCAAGTAGTTGCTAATACATGCTGGGCAAAGATTATCTGTCATCTCTTCACAAAAATTCTATCCAAAATGTCCATGGCACTCTGGTAAGTTTTGCAATGAGAAATATTGGTATATACAGATATGGAAACCTGGTGCATTAGTAGATTAAGTCTATCCCTACCAGTAATAGGAGTGGATGAATTCTTTCCCAGTGCAAGCAAGAATCCTTCAAATAATTGTTTCCAATATTGTCAGGCATCAGTAGAAGATGGATTTACAGAGTCCAAGTTGAGACATTCTGGTTTAAGGTATTTGTCCATAATTATGTTCAATAAATTATAATGAAAACTTGGAGTCTAGTTCAGCTTAATGTGCCTTTATTGAACATAACTGAAGAGTCTTGCTGTTTTGGCTAAGACAGCGTGAGTTATTTATACAAATCATGATACAAGGGTTGTCTTACCACAGCTAACAATGGACAGGAAATTGTAAACATCCTGAAGGGACATGGCACATAGAAGGAGGAGTAGGTAGGAGATTTTGTCAAGGACTAGATTAGAAATCCTGACAATTTTCTGTTTATTTTGGTATGTTTCTATTATTAAATCTGTTCTAATTAAAGAAGGACAGACATTATTTTTAACTGAAAAATATTAAAAACTGCAGTATTAAATATAAAGGGAGAACACATACAATACATATTATCAACAGAAATGATAGTAATGCCTGTAGCTATAAAAGGCATAGCAGATGCAGTGATTCTTATTTCATGGACTCTCCCAGTTATAAATTGAAGCAGGTACTGCCTTTTGGTGAATTAAGTTTCCAGCTGTCAGCTCTGACAGTCAAAGCAAACATTCTTGCTGTAACACTCTTGTTTGTATATGTTTGTATTACTATTTTCTGTTAATATACTTGTTTAACTGAATTCCTCTCTTGGGTCTTTAATTCTAGCCCTAACAAGGCTACAATAAAGTTTGAAAGTTTCAAAAGAATTCATTTTTGAAGAAAAAAGTTTTTAAACTGGTCGATACTTTATTGTCTGAATCTTTGACATAAAACTGATAATAATAATTTGTTTTTTATTATCTTAATATTCTTTAATGTTTATTTCAGAAGAACTTAAGTCCTGCCTTTTCTGATCTAGATGTGTGGATATCATTCATGGCATCAGATCTTTCAGACTGGTGTAACAGAATCTCAGGTAAAGTACTTTATCAAATAACAAAAATCACATCACTGAAATACTTTCAGTAAAAGCAACAACTTAAATGGATATCACATATAATTTGAAAGGAAAATAATCATATAATCAAGATTTTAACTTTCCACACAACCTTAAATAAAAGGTTAGGAAGAAAAATACTATCAATATTAAAAAGTACAATAACAGTGGTCTTAAGAATGCCTTTTTCATGAAGAACTTTTTAAGAAAAGTATTTTATAAATTTCAACCAACATTATTACTAACTGTTCAGTCAGTGAATATCAAATGTTTCCTGTATGGAAACAGATAATCTCACAATTATCCTCAGCTTTGTTCATTTTTTGACCTTTTCAGGCATTTTTGTGTTTTGAGAAAAAAAATACTAAAGATAAAGGTAGTTCAAAATAATCATTGTTTAAGATATAGATTCTTATCTATTGTTATAGTTATCCAGTAGTTAAAATCCTTTGCTAAAGTAATGCATATATATATATATATATATATATATATATATATATATATATATATATATATATAATAAGCATGTATGTGTGTGTTTGTTTATATATATTTTAGATTTTGATATGCCCAGATGAAACATTTTTCTTACTTGTAACTGTCAAATTACCAAAGTGAGACTTAAGACTGGAGTACCTGTATTATGTACAGGGTAGTCCACTCTGTACATGGGCTGTTCTAACAGGTCAGGTTTATTAACACTAAATTGAACAAAGATGAATTATAGTTTATAAATATCTTACCTGTACATGTTTTGTTGAACTTATAACCAAGAGAACAACCTAATTGACATGTTCCACTCCATTGTTCACAGGATGAATTTTTACACTCAGGACAGCTATTCTTACATCTGTAGCCATAAAAACCAGGTAAGCATTCTGCAAAATGAATAGTTTAACAGGTTATTATGAACAGGTATATGTCTGAATATCTAAATACATATACAGTCAGTCTGAAGTTATTATGTAAATCATACAAACCTTAATAAGTCGAATGAACTTTGAAAATTATTTTCAAATTTTAAAGCATTAATTAAACATCAAAACAAAACTTGAGTTTAATTTTTCAGTACTTTCAACATGTTTTATTAAAGTTATTAGATTTACTATAAAAATTGCAGTCTGAAGTTATTAGGCAAAACCAGAAAATCACTTTTTACTTCAATAACAAGATAATAAAATCATCAACATCTATAATAGAATATATAACAAACATATATAATAAGTTGTTGAAGGATTTACATCTTAATATAATGAGTCCTCTTCTCAGTAATAGCCAAGATAACATAATTAATTGATTTGGTTAAATGTTTACTTCAGCAGGTTCAGTTTCCAATATGCTGGTTTTAATTGTTTTCCATAGGTCTACTTTGCTGTCATATTATTTGTCACCTTCATGTAATTTCATCTTCCCAATTGACCAATAGATTTTCAATCAGATTCTGATCAAAACTTGATGGTATTCATTCCATTATTTTCTCTCCTGTAAATCTTTTATGCTCAAAAAATTCATGGAAAATCTTAGATACATGAGAAGGAACATTGTCCTGCATAAATATGCACTTCATTTTAAAACTGTGAGGCTGGAACTTGTACCATTCATAGAAACTCTTGTCCATGAAATTGTGATAAATAGCAGTGTACAGTTTAACTCCTTCAACTTTGAATGGTCCAACAATAGTTTGATCAACAATTCCAGCTCATATCATAACACTGCCACCTCCTTGCTGACTTTTTTGGCCACAGGCACATCTGTATCGGATAAAATCTATCCATGATTTCTTGACAGATTCCAATTTGCAAAGTATTCTACATCTTCTGTCCTTCTTGACTCCCTCAGTTACAGCTGGTTCAAAGATCTGAGCACATCAAAATTATAACTTGCTTTAGTTTACATTGCTCAAGAAGATAAATTCTTAAAACCTTTTTCCTTTGTTTATAAGTCTCAACATAGTTATATTTTCAATAGCCTTCTTGATTGTTTGAAGATCTCTGTGAAGCTTCATTGATATCTCCAATGAGGACATTCCCTTAATCAATAATTTTGTTGTTTTTTGCTTTTCAATATTTTTAGATCCTTTCCATTATCCATGTTTAAACATATATTATGGAACAAAAAAATATTTTTTATTAGATTTCAGAAGCCTTAAATAAATATTAATTTAATTTATGTTGTAACTTCAGACTTCAGTTTTTATAATAAATCCAATGAATTTAAGAAAACTTGTTGGGATAACATAAAAAATTAACTCAAACTTTGTTTTGACATTTAATTAATCTTTTAAAATTTGACAAAAATTTTTCAAAGCAAATTTGAATTATTGAGATTTATGTGTTTTACATAATAATTCAGATGAGCTATATGAATGTATATGTACACACACACAAACACACAAACGCATCAAAGTTCCTGAAAGTTAAACATTCAATATGTCTACTTTTTAAAAACTTATACACCATTTACAGTTGCACTTACACATCATTTTAAATGGCAAACAATACAATAAAAAATGGCAAACAGATTATGTAAAAGTGCTTGGAAAAAAAATTTACTTGGACTTTGATGGAAGTGATTCTGGACAGTCAGTTATTGAGTGGATAGAGAAGGCAGAATTGATATGCCAGCTTAGTGGCATAAAGCGTATTGAATGTGTGGTTCCTATGCAATCGGGTGGTGCATATGTTGTGTACCAGCAGCTGAGAAGAAAAAAGAAAGACTTTACCTGCATCAAAAAAATTTTGTATATGGCATTTGCTCTGGACTCTGTTACAGCTTGGAAGCAATTTGTAGCATGCCGCTTGCACCTGGGTGAGACTGTTGATGTCTTTTTTGAATTGTGTAAACTTTCAGTTCTGGTTGGTGGAATGATGGATAGAAGTCTGATGTGTGCGTTTATCGCGGGGTTGGAGCATGCCAAGGAATTATTTTGAGCCTCTTCCCAGTTAGACGATATGGACATTTCACAAGTGCTAGCTCGAGCACGTGCCATACTGAAGAAAAGTTTTGCAGATATTGAGCAAGCGGCAGTAGTTGCACGATCATCGCATTGTCAAGGCAAAGGAAGTTGATGCACCGACAAAATGCTATGTTTGCCGCGAGCCAAATCACTTGGCATGCGATGTGAAACATCAAGGAAAGAGAATACTGGACCCCGAAGACCGGTCTCGTGCTATCAATGTAAACGGCGGGGACATATGGCCCGAAACTATCCGGGAAATAGGCAGGGGGACGAGGCTTCAGCGCCAGTTTTATCCCCAGATCCTCTTTAAATAGAGCGCTATCTACAATGACTGTACAGATCGATGGAATGAGGCGCATGACTCTTGTGGGCATTGGCTGCACCCAAAAACTCATACGCAAAGCATGCTGTCGGGCCTGGGAGAGAAAGGAGGTACACATCCTGACTGTAGGCAGCAATACCCCTAGTTGCTGTGGAGTCGGGGTGGTCCGGCTTGGCATAAGTAACAGACCCTCTATTGACATAGAAGCTCTGGTCATTGATGAGGAATTACTCAGATTTGACTTGTTGCTTGGGCTGAACGCAATCAAACATCTGGGTCGTATGCCTATGACTAACACCGGTGAGGTAAAATTTCCTGAATGTCACAAGCCAATCTGCACTGCCATCACCGTCAACGAGCCCGATTTCCAAGCAGAGTTTGATGCTAACAGATGGATATGGATCGCATCGTGGAAGTTACATTAAAAAACAGGCTGTCAGAATATCCTACTCCTGAGCACCTTCGGGCTGAGTACAACCAAGAGCTGCAAACTTGGATACAAAATGTCTGGCTGCTTCCATACCCTGATGACAAGCTTGGGCCCCCAAAGTGTCTGATTCCTCTAATGGCCGTCCTACAGGAAAAAAAACAAAAGGTTTGGCCCATCATGGACTACCGCGAGCTCAATGAGCATGTAGATGCATACACTGCCAGCGCAGATGTATGTGCACACAAATTAAGAGAGAGGCAGCAGCAAGGTTCAGACGTCGCTGTGTTGGACTTGCACCGGGCCTATTTGCAAGTTCATGTTGAGAAGTCCTTGTGGCCATTCCAGACAGTAGAAATCAAGGGGAAAAGATACTGCCTCACTCGCTTGGGGTTTGGGCTTAACGTGGCACCCCTGATAATGCGGTCCATCGTTAACACCGTGGTTGCGCAAGATGAGAACATCAATGAAGCTACATCTTCATACATTGACAATGTATTCGTCAATGAGAACATATGTCCTGCATCCTGTGTAAAAGAGCACCTTGAGAGGTTTGGGCTTACGTGCAAGGCCCCAGAGCAGTTATGGAGCGGCACACGCGTGTTAGGATTGCATGTCTGGGAGGAGCGCAACAAGCTTCAGTGGAGTTGTGGAAGTAAGCTGCCGATGTTGCCTGATGTACTAAAACGTCAAAATATTTTCTCTGTGTGTGGGAAATTGATGGGACATTTTCTGGTGTGCGGCTGGCTATGTGTAGAGCAAATGCCGTGACAACTGGATGGGACGATAAAGTACGAGACCCCTCCTGAGCCGGATGTTGGTGGAGGTTTTTGCCAGAGTGGCGCAAACAGATCCAGTGCATGGGGACTGGTGCGTTGATGGACAGGACGTCACTGTATGGGTGGACGCGAGCTCATTAGCCACTGGTATCGTCATTGAGAGCGGTGGAGCCATGGCTGAAGATGCTAGTTGGCTCTGACCAATGAGTGAGGATAAGCACATCAACTTGACAGAACTCGATGCAGTGCTGCAGGGCATCAACCTGACACTGCAGTGGAAAGCAAAGGTGATTCACCTGAAGACAAACTCGGGATGCGTGCATCAGACACGTTGTCCGGAAAGTCGAGGGTACAAACCAAGGCTGCCACCGAGATGCTGGTCAGGCGCCGGCTCGGCATGCTTCAACATCTGGCCTCAGAATATGAGCTGAAGATTGACGTGGCATTGGTTAAGTCTCATGATAACCGGGCCGATCAGCTCACTAGAGTGCCGCAGCGATGGCTGGATGATATTCAGAAAGAGACGGAACCTGTAGAATGAATGTGCGCTGTGGCTGCAGAAGGTGAGGAGTCTGCTCGTATACGAGCCATTCATCAGTCTAGTGGACACCCCGGTGTGAAGTGCACACTGTACTTTGCAAAATTGGTCATCCCCAGAGTTTCCAGAGCGGCTGTTCGGGCGGTAGTCAGGGATTGTAGGGAATGTCAATCCATAGATCCTGCCCCGGTGCATTGGAAGCCAGGCAGGCTTTCTGTAAGCGACAATTGGAGCAGAGTGGGAATGGATGTGACACATTTCGGAGGCCAGCACTACCTAACGCTGATAGACTGTGGTCCTAGTCAGTTTGCCATTTGGAGGCCATTGCAGCGCCAAGACTCCACCAATATCATTCGGCAGTTGGAGACAATCTTTTTCGAAAGAGGACTGCTGATTGAACTGCTTGCTGACAATGCTGCAGTGTTTTGTGGGGAAAGATTCACAAGACTTGTGAAGGAATGGGGCATCCAGATAAGATACCGATGTGCCCATGTACCATCGGGGAATGGGATAGTAGAAAGATCCCACCGCACGATAAAGCACATGCTGCGAGAACACAATGCTCTCTTATGGAGGCAGTATACTGGCATAATGTGACACCACAGGACGACACCACTGCTTCAACAGTGCCAGCCAACTTAATTTATACCTACCACACTTGCGTGAAGGGCATTGATACCACACCACTGCCTGACGTCGCAGGTTCTGGAACATACACTACAGGAGATGTTGTTTGGGTGAAGAGACTGCATCATTGGTGTACAACAAGGTTCGAGAAGGGGAAAGTGATGGAGGTCTATGGCCCTCATTCAGTCCTTGTAGATGGAGTACCTTGCCATGTAAAAGATGTTGC